TTCTCTCTCACTCTTTCTCTCTGAAAATAAATAAATAAACTTAAAAAAATTTTAAAAATACACACATATAAATTTCACCCCAAGTACCAGCATGCCATGCTTGTTTATACTTTCTCTTCTATTCTGAGAACGGTGGTCATAACCCAGGTGGAGCTGACCTTACTAGAGGCACAGGCCACGGTTGGAAGAATTGTCTCAAGGCTTCATCTCACAAGATGTCCTGTAATCTTGCACCACGTTCTCAGGGCCTAGTCCGGCTCTTCAGCCTGACATTTGAGGCCCCACCAGACCTAGTCCTGACACCCATAGCCCTCTTCTCACCAGTCACTGGCCTCGGCTCTTAACCAAGACAACTGGGAGCTCTCACTTCTTGGGGACACAGAAAGAACAGGCGTAAAGTCTTTCTTTCCCAAGTGCCACGCAGACCGTGCCCTCCTACCTGTTCAGAGCCTTCTCGTAGCTCCCCAATGCCACGGGATAACATTGAATCCCTCACCATGGCGTCCGAAGCCAGGGAAGAGCTAGCTTTGCCCGAGTCTCACCACAGTCTTTCTTGCGTTTGGCTGCCTGGCTGCCTGTTTTCTTTCAGTTCCCCTAAGACCATGTGTTTCCTCCCACCCAAGCCCTTTGCATCTGACATGCTCTCCATCCTCCACCACGGGCCCCACGGACACGCCCCTCTTTCACTTGACACGTCACCTTTCAACTTAAATGCTGCCTCCTACAGGAAGCCCTCCCTAACCATTGGCTGGGCCTCATTTCTCTCCCTGCTCTTTCTCACAGGAGCTCTATTTTCTAACCTCACCGAACCTCTTTCAGTTCCTCCCAGGAACAAAATGTATTCTTTGCTCCCCAGCGGTGTCAAAACACGTGTGGTTTTCTCTGCCTGGAACACTTTCTCCCACCTAACACCTCCTTCGAGTCCCAGCTCACACATGTCCCCTCTTCTAGGGAAGTCTCGCCTGATCACCCTGGCTGAGTCAGCCTTTGAAACTTCAAAGCTTCCTGTGCTTCCCCCACCTGCCCCCTGATCACACTGTGCTTCCCCGCCCTGGCTCTGCCCTTTCTGCCTGTGCTCTCCCTATCACAGCCATGATCACTTCTGGGCTGTCACTATCTGATGACATGTTTGTGAGCCCTGTGAGGCCAGGGCCCAGAACTGTCTCAGCCACTGCTACGTCTCCTGCCCCCTCAGCCCAGGGCCTTGGAGGTACTTGGCGGATGTCGAATGAGGGAGCGCATGACCAGTAGGCTTCTCTCCCTTCCCCCACAGTGCTACCTGTTTCACATGTACGTGGGTGTCCGAGCTGGTGGGGGCATCGGGGATGAGATTGAGGACCCGGCAGGCGACGAATACGAGCTGTACCGGGTGGTCTTCGACATCACCTTCTTCTTCTTTGTCATCGTCATCCTGCTGGCCATCATCCAGGGTCAGTGCTGGTCGTGGTTGTGCGAGTGGGGGCTCAGTGCCCAGAGGCAGACTAGCTCCTTTAAGAGTGCAGGCCCAGGATCCAGTCTGCCCGGATTCACATCCTGGCTCTGCCTCTGCCTCTTCCTACTGTGAGACTTTCGGCAAGTCGCCTCTCTGGGCCTCAGTTTCTCCATATGTAAAATGGGGCTATTAATGATACTAACCTCGCAGGGTTATGATGAAAATTAAGTCAATTCCTAGGTGTTTTACCCATAATAAGTGCTCAGTAAATGCTAGGTATTATTATCTTCAGGAAACAGGGTGAGATTAGGGAGAAGGAGGATGGGGGGGCAAGGCTCTGAGGTAGGTAGCCAGAAGAGGGAGGAGCCCGAGCTGGGTCAGAGGTTGGGCGTTGACCTGCGCCTGCCACCGCAGGTCTGATCATTGACGCTTTTGGCGAGCTCCGAGACCAACAAGAGCAAGTGAAGGAAGATATGGAGGTAGGTCAAGTCTGGGGGTGACCCAGAGGGATTATGGGAGGCTGGGGGACGAATGGGCCCGGATTCTGATGTCTCCCACCACCCACAGACCAAGTGCTTCATCTGCGGCATCGGCAGCGATTACTTCGATACGACACCACACGGGTTTGAGACCCACACTCTAGAGGAGCACAACCTGGCCAATTACATGTGAGCATAGGTCCACTGACCATTCAAGGGATGGGGGTGTGGCCGACAGCGAGGTGGTGGGGAATGGGCATTGGCCAGTTAGGTGTGGCATCCAAGTGGGTGGATTCCGAGCCAGTCAGGAGAAAGTTAGGGTAGTCCTCACCTGTCACCACTGCCCTTCCATCCCCAGGTTTTTCCTGATGTATCTGATAAATAAGGATGAGACAGAACACACGGGCCAGGTAAGGGGGTGTTACTGGGAGGACAGTGGGCAGGGACATGGAGAATTTTAATATAAGGTCAAGCAGCAGGTGGCAGTAAAAAGCTCATGTCAACATGAGCTTTTGAAGATGTGACCAATTCTTCCCCATGCCCCAATCCTAGGAGTCTTACGTCTGGAAGATGTACCAAGAGAGATGCTGGGATTTCTTCCCAGCTGGCGACTGTTTCCGCAAGCAGTACGAGGACCAGCTTAGCTGAGACACCCCCAGCTGGCCCTTCACCCCCACCTCAAGTGCCTTATACTCACAGCAAGTCCCTTAGTCCCAAACCCCGCCCCCAACGGCAGCTGGGGGACAGGTGACCATGTACTGGAGAAATAAAGTCTGTGCTACACTCCTGACATCGTTGTGCTGGATCGTTGACATTTGAGGTATGGGTGGGCATCCGGGAATTCTGCCCTCCCCTTCCCCCCTTGAAGAACAAGATGACAGCAGAGGCTGGAGCCATGTTTATTGGGAGACAAGTGCATGTCATGATCACTAATGTCTGTCCGTTGGGGAGGGGGGTGCAGGGACTGGTTCCTAACACCCCCCCCAGAGACTCATTCCTGGATGTAGAGGTTGCTGGGGGCAGTAGGATCATCTGCTGGGCGTGTCTCCACCACCACAGGCCTGGGGAAGGAGGAGAGAAGTCAGTTCATTCATTCATTCATTCATTCATTCACAAAGGAGTTAATAGAGGCTGTGCCAGCACAGTTCTGGACTCTTGCAGTGACGTGCAGAGACCGTCTCTGCCCTTGAGGAGGCCAAAACGAAGACCAGCATGAATCAGTGAGTAACATGACTGCAAACCACTCATGTAACGGAACACATTGCATGGAAACCTATCCCAAAGGGCTGGCCAGCGTGCCCCGAAGAATAGCGGGTGGAGCCTGAAAGAGGCTCAGGAGGGAGGAAACTTGGTGAAAAGTCAAGGAAAGGTGTTCTGGACAGAGAGAACAGCCTATGCAAAGGCTTTGAGGTGGGGGAGAGCTTGGGGCTTGGCTGCAGAAGTCAAAGTCTTGTGCGCTGTGGCCAGGATGGGGTATTTATCTTGTATTTATCTTGTGGCCAGGATTTGGTATTTAACGGGAGAGTTTAAATGGGGAGAGTGACACAATCGGATTTAGATTTTAAAAGACCGCTCTGGCATGTCAAAAGGCTGCAAGAGATCCTTGAAGGGGCTCTCACTGGCTAAATCTGGGAGTTCTCGTGCCTCGAAATTAATAATCATGATACTAATATATATTGTAACCCACAGAATAAAATGGAAATCCAGGAGACTGTGCTGAAATACACACATACATACATACGTGGTAGAGAAAGGACCGTTTCCCCCACAGTAGCATGCCAACTAATGAGTGCAGAAATAGGAAATCACCACTGGGTAACTATCCTAAAAATATATTCAGGCAAAAATCAATAATAGACACTAAAAGCCGTGAGCAAAAGTCTGATAGAAACAGTATAATTACACAGTCTCAGCAAATCACCGCAAAAGATACTTTTTTTTTAGCACAAAAGTAACTTACAGTGGAGAAACCGGACTCACCACACCTTCCCCAAATGTTCAAAGATGGCATGACCAGTCCTGGGACAAACTGACATGATATGATGGACTGACGACCCGCCGTCACTTCTGCGGTACCCCTGCCCCCACAATGCTTAACCTGGAAACCTCAAACCCAACTGAGGGACATTCTGGAAAACAACCTTCCTGTACTCTTCGGAAGTATCAAGGTCACGAAAAACAAAGAAAACCTGAAGAACTGTTCCAGGCTAAAGACTAAAGAAACACCACTCTTAAATGCAACCCATCATTCTGAATTGTCTCCAGGACCAGAAAAAAAAAAGTATTATTTTTTTGGTTATAAAGAGTATCATTGGGCTAACCGGTGAGACCGGGTATGTGGGTTAGAAGGTAGCGATGTCTTGCGGTTATTTTCTTGATTTTGACAGCTGCACTGTGGTCTGTAAGAATATGTCTTTGCTTGGACTTAGGAAACAGTTCACACCCAAATAGAAAAAAAATGACACATATACAAAAGAGGATAAAACATACGTGATAAAAACAAAGCACACACACACACACACAAAGAAAAACAAAAACAAAAACCAACCAAAAAGTTAACATCTGAGGAACTGGATGAATGAAGGGGATACAAGAATTTTTAAATTTCTTTTTGCAACTTCTCTGTGAGTCTAAAGTTAGGTCAAACTAAAAAGTGGAAATTAAAATTAAAAAAATAAAAATGTCCCCTTGGCTGCTGTGTGGGGAATAAGGCACAGAGATAGAAGCAGGGAGACCAAGAGAGAGAACGTCCAGGCCAAAGATACAGGTGGTTAGAGAGACCTCAAGACACCTCTCCAAATTGGAAGCCCCCCTCCCCAGTTCCGTGTTCCCCTTCCTTAAGTCCATACCTGGGGGAGCCAAGAAGACGGAAGGTGAGGGTGGGGTCTCTCAGCTCCTGCAACAGCTGGGGGAAAAGTGTGTGTTTCAGTATCTAGAAGACTCTTCCCTTTTCCCTTAAAGGGAACGGGGGTGGGGGAGAGGTCTCTAAACTTTTAGTCTTAGATCCAGAAATACTTCTAGTCAACACCATTCACCAGCTGTGTGACCCCCCAAACAAGTTACTTTTCCTCTCTGTGCCTCAGATTACTAACCTGTGAAGTCACAGGACCTTCCTCATATGTGATGGTGAAGATTAAATACAAACACGTATGGGCAGCATCTGACACATCTATGAGCTAAGGACCATTTTTCACTCCATTTTCCGGATGGGGAAAGTAATGCATGGGAATGTTAAGTCATTTGCTTGAGGCCAACCAGCTGGTTCCAACCCAGCCCGTCTGTTCATGTTCTTAACCACCCACATCTCTCTCTAGTGACCTCCATTTTATAGTTGGAGACTGAGGTTCAGAGAGAGTAGACTCTCTCGCACAAGATCCCCCAGTGGCCTGGAATGAGCTCTAGATCCAAGAGACCCTGGGGTATAGAAGGGGACCTGGCTGAACTGAGACTGGAGGAAGCTTCTGGTCAGGGCTTCCCACCCTGACTCAATTCCCCTGATCCATCTGATGAACTGGATGCCTGATGGGGAAGGAGCGGAGTTGTGGGCATTGGGATGAAGCTTACCTGGTCTGAGCCTGGAGCCCACACCTGCACTCCATGCTTCCAAAAGGCCTGGAGCCGGCCCCCGACCATAGCTGGGAGACAAGCAGTGCCTGTTACGCTTGGGTATCACTGAGCCTCCATTCTGGACCGGGGGCCCTCCCATCCCTGCACGTACCCACGGCCTCTACTGCTTCAGTCATAGGGATCTCTGGAGTTCGAAGTCCCCGGACTGGGTCTCCCTCCGGAGTCACCAGCTTCAGAGACCCTAGAAGAGGGTAGAGAGAGGGCTATAAGAATGAGGCTCAGAAGGATGCTGAGAGACTGTACAATAAATTCACTGAGAAGCAAAGCAGGACAAGGGCAAGGCCCGGAGGGTCTCAGCATTTCTGAGAAGCACAGGGTCTGCGAAGCCAAGATCCAGGAACAGTGGAGAAAAGACTGGGAGGAGGGTCCTTACCGTCCATCAACACCATCACCTTGTCTTCCTCTACCTGGGTCACCTGCACCGGTCCCCTGTGCTCTGTTTGACAGGCAGAGAGGTTCAAAGACCAATTCCACCTGCTTCTGCCTTCCTCCGCTAGGCACCCTCTCCATTCCCAAGCTAAACCCCGCCCATCACAGCGGTCCCGACGGGTCCTCAATCTCACCGGCTGTACGTATCCACCTCTCTCCCCTCGCCCCAGCTGCAATCCCTTTCCCAGTTACCCCAGTTACATCGCAGGCTAAGCACAGCCCAGCCGCCCAGCCGCCCAGCCGCCCAGCCGACCCCCTCCCAGCAGCCCCGCCCCCAGCGAGCCTGCCCCACCCACCTGTGCTCATCTCGCCCAGCCAGCAGGAGAGCGCACCGAAGCGCACGGTGTGGAAGAGCACCGAGTTCGCCGGCCGCCCCGGGCTCACGCCGATGCAGACGGCGGGCAGCTCGGAGCCCGGCCCGGTCAGTAGCGCGAACACTGGAAGGGGCGTCGGTAGCGGGAACAGCACCTGCTGCAGGCCGCACAGGGAGGGGCGGACTCAGAGTCGTGGGGCGGGGCCTGAGAGGGGAGGGGCCTGGGAGAAGAGCCTGCAGGGAGCTTCCCAAGTATATTTCCTGGGCCCTCGGTTTTGGGGGATGGCACCTAGAAACTTCAGGGGGTAAGGCCCCAGAAGCGTGAGGTGATGCCTCCTTAGAAATGGGTGGATGTGGCTCAAAGTTGGCGTGCCTTGTTTGGAGCGTGCCGCCTTAATGACAGCGAGGCGGGGTCCCTTGAGGGGCGTGACCTCACAGGCAGCAAAGTCTCCTTAGAGTCAAAGGATCTCAGTGGGGTCCCCTTAGAGACCCGAGGAATGGGGCATACGGCCTGAAGGATAATTAGGCTGGAGTGAGAGGAGGAGCTTAAGGATCCGGAAGCTCTCAGAAGGCGGAGCCTCTGGCGCCGACCACAGGTGGGAGGGGCCTCGGGGGAGATTGGAGCGGGGCCTCGGGTAGAAGCCGGGCTTCATGAAACTCTCAGCAGAAGCGTAACAAGTGGAAGGCCCTAGCATGCAACCTCGCAGAGTCCCCAGCCTCGACAGCCCCCCTACCCGGACCAGCAGGAACTTGTTCATGGGCTGGTACCACTGAAGCAGGACCACGGACGTCTCCAGTGCGCCGCACAGGAACGGGCCCCCCGAGTTCGCACCCTCCGCTGTGGGAGATGGGTAAGGATGGGTTAGGGTCAATCTTCCCTCCCCTCCACGCCCCCCCCCCCCCAAAGGGCACACAGCTTCCCCGGGCTGTTGACAGCCTGCCTCAACAATGTAACCGCCTTGGATAGATGCAGTCCCCGCCCCGCCACGCCCCCTCTCCTCACGTTCCCCCCACCCCACCCCGTCAGGACTCTCTCTCACCCACGCAGCAAGCCCGGCACCCTTTGGTGTCCTGGATCTTGGTGGAGACCATATTCTTCCTGCAGGAGAAAGCAGGGGTAAATGCGGAGGGACGGCAGGAAGGGGGGGTTGCGGGGGGCCTGTGGCGCCACTGGGGGCTGGTACCTTGCCAGTAGCCGGTGGGGGCTCATGTGAGCGATGGGGCTTCCCGCTCTGGTCTCCTTGCGCTCCAGCAGGCCCAGGATGCTATGAGAATACAGGTGGGGGGTCTTTCCTACAGCGTATGTGTGTGTAAGGGGAAGCAGGCAGTTAACGGACACCAGACACAGCCACCTTTCTCTGTCCCTTCTCTTGGCCCTATCCCTTTGAAACTCCCAAGGCTTCAAGTCTCAAACACTTTTATTTCTTCATTTTCCACTCAACATATTGTAAATGTCCACCTCGGGCCAGGTCCTGTGCTTGGCTCTGGTGAACAGTGGTGAGGAAAAAGTATGTTCCCTAGCCTCCCGTGCTGGTAGCCGCAGGAGAAACTATGGACACTTAGCCAGCCAGGTGAAGGTGCCCACGCTACTAAATTTAAGAAGAAACCGATCCAGAAATTCTCTTGAAGTCCGGCATCACAGATGTGATATTAACTAACTCATGAAGCCTATTTGGCTTGGTGTTTCCCCGTCAATTAGAAATTCTTTCACGCAAAATGTTTATAAAACAGTAACACAAAATTGTAACCTCTATCTACCCCCTCACTCTATTTCACAGAAGTGTGGGATAAGTTCCGACTCTCATCTGAACGTCAAAGAAATGTAAAGACTTACTGTAGACCTTACCTCAAAACTGACTTGAGGTGGGACTACTGTGAACCCCATTTTATGGGTAGGGAAACTGAGGCCCAGGGAGCAAGTCCCACAGTGACAAAGTGGCTGAGATTTTTAACTGCGGGCTCTGTGAAGGGGGAGCCTATGTTTTCGTTTGTTTTATTTTGTTTTCAGCTGTGCCCATCTACCTCCCAACCCCTTCTCGACCCCTTAACTTCTGACCCCACTCCCCCCACCTGACCCACAGCCAGACCTGAGAGGGACATGAGGACATTGTTGATGGAGTACACCCAGGTAGTCCGGCTAGGAAAGAGCTGCAGAGAACGAGGCAGATGGCTCCCATAAGACCCCAGCAACCCCCAACTCCAGCCCCTGCCCTCGGTCCCCCAGCTGCTGTCCTCACCATCTCCAGTGTGGCCTCCTGATCATTCCGGTTCAAGATGAAAATGCCTTCCTCTGCCCCCAGGAGCAGGTGCTGGTCTGTGGGGACAGACACAAGGACGCTGGAACCTGCCTCATCCTGGGGAGGGGCCTCCCAGACCGTGACCTGACCCCAAACACTGCTAGTCTGTCCTCCAGCCCTGACGCTCAATTCTCTCTTACTCCCGGCCTCTGTCTCCCCAAATCTGAACTCAAACCCTGACCCAGTGCCAGCTCAAGCTGGCCTCATTCTTATCTACCTCTCAAGGCTGGACCTGCAAATCCTGACCCCTGTCCCCTCAACTTTGACCCCAACATGAGTCATGCTTCCCCACATAGCCTCCGAAGTTCCATCCTTCTCTTCCCCAGTCCTGACCCCCAAATGCTAATCTTGTCTCAACACTGATCCTCAAACTCGGGCCCCCTGAAATGTGGCTTTTTCCGTCCAGTGTGTCCCCCTCAAACTCTAACTCTGTTTTTTTTTAAATAAGTTTTAGTCATTTTTTAAAAAAGATTTTAAGTAATCTCTACACCTAACATGGGGTTTGACCTTACAATCCTGAGATCAAGGGTTGCCCACTCCCCCGACTGAGCCAGCCAGATGCCCCTAATGCTGGGTCTTTAACATTTACCCCTCACTGACCTTGTCTCCACATCTCTCATTCCCAAATCCTTTCCCTTTCTGCCTACATTCCCATCCCCCAAACTTCCGACTCCAAACTGCAGACCCCAGCCTCTGTACCGTTAACTTCCAGCTGAGGTTAAAGGGTCCAACTTATACCCCAAACTCTGACCATTCTGTTATGATATTCCTGGACCCTAAACTCTTACTTTCCTAATTTTCACCCACAAATTCATTTTCACTCTACCCGTATTTGATCCCCAAACCCCAACTGTAACCCTGGGCTCTGGTCCTCCCTCGGTTCTGCCCCTCCCCATCCTATTAAGACCCTCCCCAGGGGGCGCCTGGGTGGCTCAGTCAGTTAAGCTTCTGACTCTTGATTTCAGCTCAGGTCGTGATCTCACAGTTTGTGACTTTGAGCCCTGAATCGGGCTCTCTGCTGTCAGCACAGGGCCCCCTTCAGAACCTCTGTCTCACTCTCTCTCTCTCTCTCTCTCTCT